CTCTCTCTCTCTTTCTTCTCTTCTTCTTCTCTCTTGTCTCATACACCGGTTCACAGTAGGAAGACTCCTCGGAACAACATGTATCTTACTAATGGGTTACCCGGGTCCTCCCTCCCGACTAGTAATACGGGATACGGTACCAACAACAGTGGACAGGCGATACATGGGCGTCCTATTAGCGGACCAGGTTTTAGCAACCCCAACTATGGGGCTGGCAATCGAGGTACGGTCTGCTACAACTGTGGGAAAACGGGCCACTTTGCCCGAGAATGTTGGACCGTCCGAGGGCGGTATGGCCAGACAGGTAATACGGATCCCGAACTTGAAGAAATCAAGGAGCAACACAGGCTAGCGAGGAAGGAGAGGCAGGAGTTAGAGGAGAAGAAGAGAATCGAGGAAGAAAAGAAGGCTAAGGAAGAGGAAGAAGCTCGTAGAGATCGTGACTTCGCACGGAAGGCGGAAGAGTTTARGTTGCAGATCAGGGYGGAGCTGCATGAAGAATGGCGGAAGAAGAAATCAAAGGTCGAGGTTGTGGTAAGGGAATCAACTAAGGAGCGATTATCTTCACCGAGAAGGAAGGTGAAAGCGGTGAGAAGGAGTCGGCGYATGAAGCGAGTGACTCGTCGTTWCATCACATAATCTTMTGAGTCAGTAACTTCCGAAGGATCCGAGCAGTCCGAATCTCTGGGATTGACAACGGAATCTGAGATCGCCGCGAACTGGCGAAATAGGCAGGGCAGAAGGAGAGTACGATCGAGGACGAAGAAAGACCTGCGAGGGGGAAGAAGAGGGTCTCACCTCTTGGGATAACGCCACAGAACGCGAGGGCTGAATGTTCCAAAYGGGCGGGTTTGAACACTCGTGGTAACGCATGTGATGCCGAAACCTCGGAGCAAGCGGCGGAACCCAAGACACCGCTGACTGCCGGATATAAGGGCATTTCTGCAGAATGTTCGCAACGAGGCATCATCGACTACTGTATCTCGGCTCAGAAGATCTTCTCGACGAAGAAAGCTACCGACCTTAGGAGGATCTGTGACAGGAAGGGCATCAAGTACACCAGGAAGCCCGAAGTTGTYGAACTCTTGGCAAGACAGYWGGTCGAGTTAGCTTATGAGGGATTCGGAGGTTTTGAGCCGGACAAGGAGAAGGAGGCGACTAAGACGACAACTTCCCATAAACGAGCTGAAGAGAAAGGAAAGCAGAAGTTGGAGACACCGGTCGGACGCAAGGTACGAGTTACTTTGAAGTTGGCAAGCAAGCAACYGAACGATGACTCTRATTGACGGTGCGTTGCTCCCRCTACTAGGGAACTCTGGGACACGCTTACTAATACTCTACGTCTTAGGTCCGTACTGTGGGAGCAGGGGGTTAGAGGTGATCGTACAAGGAAAGTCGAGAGTCTGATTACGACTTCGACCGTGATCCTAACACTACGAGGACAGATACCATGGCTKGAGAAGATCGTGGCGAGATCGGATGGTCTRACGATTCTCACCGRTTTGAAATCTCTTGGTGTCTATGYTGTTGTTAGCCCGTGGACGAAGAAGCTGTACATCGGTYGTACCGTCAGGCCGATGGTGCAACGTTGGAGAGAACATTATGYGAATGCAAGGAATAACGTGATAGGACTGACCCCCCACCTGTATCGGTGGATGCGAGCRTTCGACCCCGACAAGTATCTGATCCTACTACTCAGGCACGCGACAGGGGGGGACGACTACAGCTATGAGAGGTCTTTGATTGCTGACCTTAGCCCTTGTCTGAATTCGAGAGACTTAGGGAGACGGGAGAAGAGGGTTAGGCACTCGAATAGAAAGGGTAGGAGGGAAAGGAAAGGTCGGACTCGGGGAGTTCCTTACTACAGGCCAGTCATCTTTCGGACCAGTGGYATTGATCTTGTTTCCTTGATCGGGTTTTTCGAACAATTACAGACCGAACCAAGAAGGGTGAAGACAGGGAAGGTGGCGACAAACTTGACTACGGTGAAAGGAACAGTCTGGGCGGATGGTTGGAGGCGGATCAAAAGACTCTAYGACCAATCTAGAGTTAAGGTGAATGGGACTGACATGCGGCTCAAGGCCGCGAGGAGACTTCTACAAGAAGGTGCCCGGGTGGTGGTRATGAAAATCACTAGGACTAAGACTACTACGGAGGTTAATAGGGGCATCCTGATAGGGCTGTTGCGAAGGCCCAGGCCGAAGTCGTTTTTCCTYAAGATGTCGTCGAACAAGCTGGTTGGCCTATACAGGGCTGCAGGGACACTGGCAGATGGTAAGTCGAAGCTATCCTTAAGACTGAAGATCGATAGAGCACTGCTGGAGACGACGGGTATCAGCGTGAGAAAAAGGGTGAATGTCGTACTACCTTTCGATTCTCGGATCAGGAAGGCACTGGTTCGCAAGGCTGCGGAGGAGATGATTGCTCGGAMGATCGGTGATGACCACCTCTCGAGCTTCGTGAAAAGCCGGATTCGGGCAATCTGGAGGAAGAATAGGACGGTCAGCGAGTTGTTACATAACCAGAAGCTCTTCGCCACAGATGAAGAGATGCCCTTCCCCTGCGCTTCCTCCAAGTTGCCGAAGACCGATGGGCACGTATCAACGCGTTTCGCGGATCTTCATACCGAACGCGTACCGTGGTTCGTACGGAACTCGAAGAATATCACCAGGCCAGTGAACACCCAGGACGGTGGAACGATACTACTGGCGATCTCCGAGGCCACTAGGCATCTGGGAACACAAGTCGTTACTTTGAGTCTACCGGAAGGTACCATCAGGACTGACGGTCACCAACCGGTAGCTTGGACGGATGGTGAGGTACGGAAATGGAGTACGGATTTCAGGGGTTTTGTCCTGGCCCCGATAGATAGGAATCCGAGCGACACGGGGATCATCTGTCYGGTCCTCTACCGTCACGCTTTCGGTAAGACCTTCCTGTGGAACACCAACTATGAGTCGGTAGGGAAAGGCGTCACGGAGTCGGTGGCGTTGGCTAGATGCAAGGTGGAATTCCTGGCAGCGGATCTGCAGAAGCTGGGGGCCTGGAAGCTAGACGAATGCTTGAGGAATGCCTATGTCATTCCCAAGCACAAGGATCTCAATAGATGGAGACCCATTGCTCCCGCTCCGGCTGACCCGGCGGGACTGGCCCAACGTAGAGTGGCGAGCGCATTGCACTGCCTGCTGATGAGGGTTCCTGCTCAAGCCTCATTCTACCTCAACTCGGTCTCCGATCTTGCGGACAAGCTGAAGGCGACCACACACAGGCTGAAGGCAGCAGGTTGCGAGCAGGCCATTGGCAGATGCTACGACATCAAGGAAATGTTTTCCCGTATACCCCATGACGAGGTCTTGCGGTCGGTTCACCAGCTACTGCGGCGATTCGAGGATGCTGAGTGGAAGCAGGTGAAGGTCTCTTTCAGAGCTCGGTCCTACATTTTGAGTAAGACATCCAGAAAGCAGGACAGRTATGTCAGTATTAGACTRAAGGAAATTCTGACGACCKTGAAGTTTGACCTCCAGCACTCCTTCATCAAGTGCGGGCCAATTGTGATGAGGCAAGTCTTCGGCATTCCGATGGGAAAGACGACAAGTCCGGTGCTGGCCTCGATCACATGCGCGATGACCGAAGAACGTTTTCTCCGAGCACTTGGGGCAGATAGGAGACTCGTGGCAGGATGGTGGATTATGGACGACATCTCCGTTGTAGCTGGCCTACCTTCCTCTGATCACCACGGGGGATACCCGCAACGCTGCTTTGAACAGTTTGAGGCGTGCTACCGTTGCTACGATGTACGTAAGGAGGGATGCGGTCTAGAATGGGATTTTGTCGGAGGTTCCATGATGATCGGGAATGAGTCGCTGCAGCTCCATTATGTTCCTAGAACGAAGAACACGGAAGCGTTGTTCGAAACTGGGAAACTGTTRTTCCAAACCTTCCAGGACTACGCTTCGTACTCGGATAAGAAGGTGAAAAGAGCAGTACTGTCAGCCGCGATGAAGAGGCTATGGTACCACTCCACTAGCAAACCGCTCGTTCTAGGGGCGGTTGCTTTTACGGTCTGCGAAGCACCCCGGGAGGTCTCTCTCGGTGCCCTGGCCGATTTGGCCAAGGCTGCTGGGAACGCTGCACTTACAAAGATGTTGGCAGCACTCTCGGCAAGATCGGGCTTYAGGAGGTTTAGGTGAAGACGTTTCCCAAATTTTGTTTTCCTCTCGATCTTGGGGCCCACTCTACCACTGCTTGGTGGGTGGACCCCAGCGCTATTTTTGTCCATAGTGAGCTGGCTGAACGAGAACGGGC